TTTACCTATCAAGTTTCACCCTTCGAGGCTGACACTTAATTGGACAGTTAATCCTCTTATTAATAGGCAAGCACCATCTGCAGCTGAATGAGTAGTCACGAAATTTAGGGCGTCATTAAGTTCTGTTCAACTCTTGATCTTCGCCTTATTCAAATTTCTTATTGGAAAATAATGTTTCAATCAGTAGTCATTAAGAGAAGAGACGAGAGAAGTGTTAAGGCGGGGGGGACGTGTCCGACAATTAGTTCCTGTCGCTCCGTCGTCACTGTCTCGTGTCGTGTTGGGCGGGGTCGGGAGGACACATGCCCTCGCGACGGGGTAGGCTGCGTGAAGACGTATGCTGTCGCTCTCACTTGGTTTAGAAATATAAAAACGGAAGGTATCGCCGGAATTGTGAACAACAGATGCAGTCAGGTGAAATAATGGCAACAGTAGCTTATGTAGGCCCACACCTATACTTCTAGTTCCAGCATTTTGTTCTGCAACAACGGTGGTTATAGAGTTTTGGGGGGCGGGGGTGGGGAAATAGAACAGGCGTTGAAGAAAATTCATCAAAATAAGTGTTAAGTGGAAAAATGGAGTTGAAGCTGTTTCCCGTGGCGCCTGGGGGTAAGTTGTTCCGCATGTAAATTGTCGGTTTGCCGCTTCCCGCGGCCGCTGGGAGTAAGTTGTTTCGCATGTAAATTGAAGGTGTGCGCGGCGCTTCGCTCCCCGCGGGCTATTGTTCCGCATGTAAATTGAAGGTGTGCGCGGCGCTTCGCGCAGCGGACCATGATCTAACTCCAGAACGGTAAGTTGGACCTCAGGTAAGTTGAAGTAGACGACCCCCTAACCACCATTTCAATTTTTTAGGAAATTCAATAAACCTGCAATTTGATAGTCGGTTTTTTCCGTAATAAGTTAAACGACAATACAGATTAGGAAAATCTACGGATATAAATCAGCAACACTTCTAAATACAGTAAAATAAAGATGCGTTTAGTATTTATTAAAGTATATTCCACTGCGTGTCCTAATTCCCACCAATAAAACCCTATAACCACCGTTTTCGTGGGAAAACATGCAGGGAGTAGGGAGTAATGACTGGGCCTACATAAGCTCCTTTTGCCGAAACAATTCAACAGACCCTATTAAAATAACTTTTATTTCGCCAGATGTCTTTATAGATATTCCTGGCATTAGAGTACAAAAGGTTTCCGATCCTTCTAGCATCTCCGGTGAATAGTTCGAAATTCAAGGAAGACAAAGATGCGTTCACTGGGACCGTACTTGTATAAGTCTGAGATTTCGGACTCTTTTAATAGGCCATCATCAGAAAAAATGGAAGAACAGCAGGCATTGGCAGGTTTTTATGGTCCACCCACGAGGAAATTGGAGATGGGGGAAACATTTTTGATTGGTTGAGTCCACGCTCATGTCGTATCAGCGCGCGTTATGGCATGCGACGTGCATATTGGCTTCTATTTCATAATGCTCTCCCGTTTTCAACCTTTTTATTCTCCCATACATTGAAATTCTGTTCTATTTGTTTATCTTACCATTAAAATATAAGATGTTTCTTAAGATAATTTACCGAAAAAAAGAGTTTTGGGATATTCGTTATTATGAAGATGCTCATTTGAGTTATATTTATAGACTCGCCAAAACATGAAATCTCATTTGCAAGAAAAGTAAGTCAACTAAAAAGTCAGATACTAATATGCTTAAGAGCAATAAAAAATGGCAACAGCAATTTATGTAGTGCACCTCATATACCCCTAGTCCCAGCATTTGTCTTACAGAAATGGTGGTTATAGGGGTTTTATGGGTAGTGAATTAGGATAGGCAATGTATTTATAAATTCTATTGATTTATATCTGCGGATTATCAAAACATGGGTTTCTTGAAATTCATGAAAAATAGAAATTATTCTCAGGAGGTCGTCTACCCCAACTAATCTGAGGTCCAACTTACCGTTCCGCGGTGCACAGCGTCGCGCAAACCTTCAATTTACATGCGGAACAACTTACTCCAAGCGGCCGCGGGAAACGAATTTAATTACATTTTTCTATTTTACATTTACTTTTACAAATGTCCTTCATTGCCTATCCTATTTCCCCACACGCAAAATCCCTATATCTACTGCTTCTGTAGGACAACATGCTGGGACTAGGGATATATGAAGTGCACTACATAAATTACCTTTGCCAAAAAACGTTCTTTTTAAAAAAGCGCTTTATTGAGATATTTAGCAGATGAGTATCTTTGTATTTGAGCTTTTTCCAAAGTAAAACCGGAGTCGACATAAAAATCTTTGGTTGATTTTTTGCCTAAAATGAACTAACTCGCTTTTTTTTACTGATATTGTAGCGACTTGTCCTATAATTATTTTTACTTTTAGGCACCATCCTAAGATCGCAAATCTGTAACAGACTGGCAAAACGGATGCTAAATGTTTGCGAAAACTGCTGCACTGCTCACCTTTCTGCCTCTAAATTAAACATTAGCGGAAACTATATTATATAAAAATGTATATTTGTATGTATGTAGGATTGTTTGTTTACGGCGTCCATCTCTAAAGTAACATCTACGCATTTTGTTTACATTCTCAATTATCTTAGTATGGCCAAACAAAAAGGTTCAAACAGGTTTATTATTGCGCTTCATGATAAAAAACGTAGACACCTCCAAAACATAATTGTTACACTTAAATTCCTTTGTGGGGATAGCTTGTCGAAAGCAAACCTGTTTTTGCCTTACACAACAACCTACTTATTTCATAGCATTGCTACTATAAACCCGAACGGAACTAAGAAGGCAAAGAGTTACTGGCGCAGTGGGTTACAGCGTTGGACTTCTAATCAATGGAAAGGGGGTTTGAGCCTCGGGATGAGGTATGACTGATTGTTGATGGCAATTTCAGTCTCCCTCTTCTTTGTCGGCAAGAAATTTCTGTCTATAATATGTCGTTTCCTTTATGAAGGACATTAATAAAATAGAAGAATACGATGCGATTTGAATGGAAATTGGGCGGGGCCTCAAAATTGTGAATAAGAAAAGCTGGTTGGATAGGGCTGCCTGGTGACGGCAACCCAATTAGAAATTGCACTTACGCTTTCTCATATCTTTGTCGGCAGCGTGTTTCAGGAAATAGATGCGTGCGTAAACGGTGATTGATTGAGCTCATGAAATACAAATTCAGAAGCTGAAATGTGTTCACAACTTGGGAGCTCATGTCTTTTTCAGCTTCTGAAAAAAAGGATCATTCGAAGGAGGTGCTTACTTAAGAAGCATGTATTTTTATCTTGATTTTAGATGCCCTTACAAATTCCCATATATTTTCTAGTAAACCTTCAGTTTCAAGAAGTTTCCATTTCACAATTTTAAAAGACCCCTTATTTAAACTGCATTATATATCATAGGCATAAATGCATTACCGACGAAGACAAAGGAAAAGGGGATTACTGTTTCCGGCTTATTAGCCGTCATCAGCCAGCCATACCCAACCTCAGGGGTGGTGACCCCGAGGCTAGAAACCACCAGCTTGTGAGCTTTAAGTGTAACAATTAAGTTGGCCGCCGACCTTAGATATTCCAAGCCCCAGAATCCTGTTTTACATGACCGGTAGTATTATTTTAGTATTTAGTTATTTAGTTTGATTCTAGTTTTCGTTTAATTAAGTTCTTATCTTAGCTTTATTTAGTTTACGGTGGTATCTAAATTAAACTTAACCTAAACTTAACTAACAAACTAAAAATAAAATAAGGCAAAATTGATTTGTAAGGTCCCTCTAGATATCTTTCCTCCCCCCGCCCAACTGCTTAACATATTTTGTGGTCACACATTTAATTCTTGGCTGGTGAGCGTAAATTAATATGTAATTGCGGTGGAAGTGATCAAAAAGTATTCAATTAAATGAGATTATATTTGTTTTAATATAATCACATAGAATAAAAGTCGATCAACATAAACTTCTGTTGCGCAGGATACAAATGCTATTCGAGGAAATTCGACCTTATGTAGGCGGAATTTGATGAAAATGGAAATGCTTCCTCCTATTGGTGGAATCTAACGAAAAAAATTAAAGTCAGGCTACTGAACATGCAAAAGAAATTTTTAATTAAAAGTCGACGGGATTTTTGGGCCTCTTAAATCAATCTTGCCTAAAATAAAAAGTAAAGTGAACTAAAGGTAATAAAACTAAAGTAACCAGAGGACTAGGAGCTAGGGGTACCTAAGCTAGGCGAACAACTACACTGTTACCGTTCGAAGTCCAACGCTCTAACCACTGTGCCGCGAGAACATGGAAAAGGGGTAGATGGACGCTGGAGAAATTCGCTCATGCCTCCGGGCTCGCTCTCGAGCCCCGCCAGCTGCAGAATTATATTACAGACAAAGACGATGGAGACAGGCATCGCCGTTTCTGGCATGTAAGCCATCATCAGCCAGCCATAATCAACCTCCAGATGTTGCGAGCGAACCCCGGGGGCACGTGCAGCTCGGTGGGCGCCTGTCTACTGTTTTTGCCTATGACCTGTTCCTGAAACTGAAGCGGCGGGCAGACACACTCAAGAGAACGACAGTACTCCACTTACCTGGTGAATATTGAACTCACGGCGGCAGTGTGGGTAGTTTTAAATAACTTTCCCCCTTTTTTCTTCTGCAAGGCTTCAGAAAATGAAATCAGCCTCAGAGCAGGGTCAGAATTCTATTGGCGCATTTCGGGATGGAGACTCGCTAGGCGGAAGCGGGCTGTGGCCGAAACCGCCGGAGGGGGGCTGGGGTTGGATAGTCGTTTTCGGCAGCTTCCTCGTACACCTCATCGCGGATGGAATATGCTACGCATTCGGGGTGTTTACGCCCGCAATCGTAGACTACTATGGAGCCTCTCGGCAACTGGTCGGTTGGCTGAACTCGGCGCTCGTGGGAATCAGCTTCATTTCCGGTAAATGCATATTTTCCAGGGCTTTCGCAGTGGCAAGCTCTTTAGAAAAGTCTTCTTCTTTATATGTCTTTTTTTACATTTCCTTTGGCTTATTTCACTCGTCATCTGAGTCGGTAACATTTCACGCCAGTGTAGGGCATATTACCAACTCTAAGGATATGAAAGTATCCCGCCGCCAATGAACGAGTTTCCATCAAAAGGATTTATGGAGATTTTAGGTGGTAACATTAGTTTTCACAAAGGTATGACACAGTCCATCAGCATGGCACCTCTCCACATGGACTTCTTTGGCACTGTGTGGTCATCTTTATTTTTACTAGATTTAATTTAGTTCTGGTGTTTAATTTAGTCTTATTCGTTTGAGTTCAGTTTTTGTTTACTTAAGTATTTGATGTAGTCACTTTTAATTCGCTTCATTTTATTTTACCTTAGTTTTACTTTTTTGGTGACATGCGATCAGTATTGTTCAAAATGCATTAGAAGGTATTTTGGGTTTTAAAAAATGGGAAAAAGCCAATCTTTTATGGTGTTAATTAAATATATAAAATTCCATATACAATTGAGATAAGATTGTATCCGATTCACGAGTACTATTGGGTATTTCTTGTTTCCTGCTGGTTGTATATCCCATTTTAATTATCACTCGCCAAACACAAGGTTATTTAAATAACCGTTCCTATCGTTTTAAATTTTTATGTGCTCTTCGTTTTTAGCATATTTTCTTTCTTCTGATATGCTCACAAATTTAACACCTATTACCACTGGTCCCACATAACATAATTTCGGGTTTTCGTTGGCTTTAATGAGCCCAAAACCAGACTGTTACCATAGTGCGCTCCAAATACAGAAGCCAAAGAGATTGGATCGATGAGGCAGTCTTGATTGTATTAGAGTGCGCAGGTGTATAAGAGTAAGCGCTGACAGCAGTCGATGAGCAACGTGAGCCATAAGCGCATTAGCGCCATTGTAAGCTGTAGGAAGGTCAGTGTGTCTGTTAATAAAGTTGTAGAGGTCAAAGTAGTGGTTGTACTCGGATCACTACAATCATCAGACCGAACTCCTAGGTTGGGAGTTAAAAGGCAGGAGTCTTCAGAAGGAGGGGTTTACTGTGTACAGAATTCACAATTGCTGTCTCAGGCGGCAGTGGCCACTGGGAAGGCCAGGGCTAGTGTTGAATGCGTCCAGCCAGACCTGAGCGAGAATGAGACAGTAGTTGCAGCTGCTTAAGAAGAATTGCGGAGCAGGTTCAAGCGTTCTGTTATTGGTGTGTTGCAATTGTCCGAGGGGGTGTCGCCTGCAAAGGTCTTTTCTGCATCGGTCGAGGGGTGGTGTATTTCAAGTGGCCCTTAGGCAGGCGTGCTTATTTGGACGCGGGTGTATACGCGGGTGTGTGCGCACTTGTGTGTGACTGAGTAAGCTGAGGTGAACTGTAGGGACCGCCGCAAGGCCGAAGGAACGCTGGCGCCGCTTTTATCGGTTAGCCAGAAGCAGCTGCGAGGTCAAGCCTCGGAGGGCGGGGGCGCCAGTGAAGGAAAGCATTGGAACAGTTGTTTGTGACGACGCATGACTTTGGGCAGCAGGCCTTGAAGAACGATGGGGGGGGGTGGGGACAGGCATTGTGGCTGTCCGGCACAAAGTTTTCACATGAACGAGGGGGACTGCAATTACGATGTCGCCAATCAAAGGTGGGTACTGTTTGCGCTTAGAGTACCAAACTATATTTGGCATTTATTCGAAGAGCTTGAGTTACATACCAGATTTTCTCATAAATACACCGAATCAGACTTAACCAACGACGGGCGTTTTATTTCGAAAAAACCATCTGCGAGAGG